GGTTGATCAAGTATGCAGCATTAAGAACACATTCACCCCAAAATTCGATTTGTAGATTCGCTTGAAAACGCAAAGCTCGAGCAACCTCAAGAACGTGACGATGCTTGCGTTCAACACGACCGTTCTGTTGTGGTGTGTAAACACAAGATGTTTGATGAATAATTCCTTTTTCTTGGAAAAATCGAGTCATACAAAGAAACTCTGTTCCATTGTCACTTCGTATAACTTTCACCTTCTTGGAGGATTGCCGTTCAATCATTGTCAAAAAATTTTGAAGATGAAACGCAACTGATGTCTTGTTAGGAAGTAGATATAACCACACGGCCCGAGAGCAATCATCAACTATGGTCAAGAAGTAACGAGAACCACAAAAAGCAGGAGAACGATATGGTCCCCATAGATCGCAGTGAATTAAATCAAAAATCTCTTTTGCATTATTCAAAGAATCAGGAAAACATTGTCGAGTTTGTTTGGCTTGGAAGCAAATGTCACAACTCTTATCTAAAAACTCAGTGCTAGTAGTAGAAAAAACTTTAACACCAGGAATCTTGCTAAGAACCCGAGACGAAGGGTGACCCAAACGCATATGCCACAAAGTTACGTCCTTATGAATACTTGTCTGATTAGCTGTCACAATCTCAATCTCGCGGAACCGGTACAGTCCTTCTCCCTCACGTCCACCTATTCCAATCAGCGTCCTGGTAATTCGGTCCTGTAAAACCAACAATCTATCAGTCATTTGGCCGATGAGGAAGTTATCCGTAAGTAACTGTCCAAGAGAGATCAAATTTGCAGTAAATCCGGGAATAAGATAAACATTTTGCAAACATAGACGTGATGAAAGATGAATTGTGCCCTGTTGAGAAGACAAAACATTTTCTCCAGCAGGGAGTCTAACGGATACGGGAGAGATAGTGCGAAGATCTTGGATTAAATCTGCACGTCCCGTCATATGATGTGTAGCTCCCGTATCCAAAATCCAAATAAGACCATTATTCTTACCACTTAGACGATCATTGGAATTGCCTGTCCCATACACTCGTTGAATCGTACGCCATTGTTCATCACTGAAACCACTGAAACCTTGGCGATCAGCATCGGTTAAAGGAGGAGATGTTGTAGCTGCAGCGTTTGCGGAGACGATCTCAGTATTATTAGCCCGTGGTTGAGACCCGCGCCCACGTCCGCGCCCAAAACTGCGTGAATCAGACTTAAAACGAGGACGATCTTCCCACCAATCTGGGTAACCAACAACCTTAAAACATGAGGAAACCTCATGACCTGTCCGACCACAACTAGTACAGTACCGGGATGGGTCACGGTTTCCAGGTCCGAAACGTGAAGAAGACTGATGTGGTGTAGACCCACCAATTTTGGAAGCATCACGGATCATGGGACGAGAAACTTGAGAAGCAAAACTCATAACTTCAGCATCTTTGGAAACTCCAGAATGAATTGTTTCGTTTTGAACAATTGTTTGGTAAGCAGTATCGAGATCAGGAAGAGGAGCAATGGCGCAGATTTGAGATCGCACAGCTCCATGTATGGCTTCATCAAGACCAGAGAGAAAGTCATGGACTTTCAAGACATCAAGTTCTTTGTCACGTGCAGTATTGAGATCACACGTGCACTTGCCACAACTACATCGTTTTGAATTTGTGTATTCTGCGATTCCATCCCACAACCGTGTCAAGCGACCGAAGTAATCATCAATAGAGGAACCATTCTGTTTGCAAGAAGCCAAGGCATTGCGTAGCTGTTGCAAACGAGCTCCACTTTTCACAGAGAATCGTTTCTTGATTAATTCCCAAAGTTCACGAGCTACCTCGCGAGTAGAGATGGATGATCGGATCTTTGGCTCAATCGTAAGTTTGATCCAGCCAACGATTAAATGATTGTTAGCAATCCAGTCTTCAAGATTTTCAGCACCATCAGCCGGTTTGGCTATGCTTCCGTCAAGGAATCCGAATTTCTTGCGAGAGCTAAGAGCAATTCGGAGGTTAAGAGCCCATTCATCGTAGTTCAAACCATTGAGTAATGGTTGAGAGATAACAGCACCCGGATTATCACTGGAAGTAAGATCGTAAGGAGAGATTTTCTTGTATTGAGAATTTGTGTTTGTTAAAGCCATCGTATTGGATTAAAAAGGAAGAAGAGATTTTGCCGAGAGGCTTGGAAAAATAAGATGCTCTGTTTTAGTGTTGGAAAAACAGAGTAAAGAAAGAGAAATTTAAGCCGAGAGGCTGTGATGTGTTTGAGAAATAAAAGGGAAACGATGAAGAGGCCGAGAGGCGTTCTTCGAGAGAAAAAAAAATTAGGGTTTTTAGATCGATGGCTCTGATACCATGTCAAATATGATTGAATGATTTGTGTTGTTTATTAACATAACCACAAGGTCCTATTTATACAAGAAGGTTTAGCTGAATAAAAGGAAAACTAACTAAACGATATATACGTAATCTCTATTTCATATAGCTCATTACGATCTCATTCCAGTTACCTATGGAGTTCCCAGGAAGATAACTGGCCTATGTGGTCTGGTTCTTCGAGGTTACCATCTATACATCTTAACGACTTGCGTAGAGTCGTTAGAGTCATAGATTTTTCTGGGCAGCTAGGTTTCGAAGAACTCACCCGGAGTCACATATCCCCAACGTTTTCTCATCTTGGATTTAACTGTTATTCTAGAATGGTGGTTACAACAGCATGAGAGTTTTTGTTGGTCACAACCACAACCTCTGAAAGTAGCGAAAGGGTCTTCTGCTTCTGCATCTACAAGATGGATCCTAATGCTGACCCAGATGACCAAATGCCCGATCTTGTTGAGGTAGATTCTCTTGGTTATGAGGTCCTGCTTCTCGACTCGAGCTTGCTAACCATACCCTTGGTATCAAACCAAACTCTATCTATTTCAGTCATTATGACCTTCTCCTTACCTACAGCAACGCGAAGCACACTGCCCATTTCCCGCCCCCTTATGAGGTGGACATCTGTGTGTTCTATCTTTGAACCAAGACCCTCGAAACCTTCACTGCTCTCTCCAGCATGAACTTCAAGGATGCTCGATGGATTTTCTCTATATGAAGGAAAATGTCGGAAAAGACGAATGTGTTTTCGTTTTCATATAGTATATGTACATGCTCTTTTAACCAAAATAATAAGTAGAATTTTGCTTCATATAGCTGATCAATATATAGTTTTGCATTTTCCAATAAAACTTCCAGGTAAAACTTTTTGACTATTTGATATTGCCTAGTCACTTTTTCCTTCAGGTTTTTGTACTTTTTATGGGATGGTAGAGATGTTTCAAGAAGACAGAATTATCAAGATATGAGAAATTTCTTGCCTGGTGATTGTAGAGATAATGGCGCATTTCTTGTTTATGTTGTTTCGACAATGGTGTTTTCAGAATTCGTTTAGGTCAAGTTTTCAGCAAAATTTGGAAAAGAAAGCTTAGTGAAAGAAGTTAATGAACTAACCAGTCCTGGGAGAAGAAACATAGGACCACCATAATCGCCTGGCCAGTACCCGTCTTCCGCCTGTATAGTTAGAATAGAAATCTAGACCCCACTTAACGTGTTTCCCACGATCTCCTCTGTAACATCATCAGTATCTTCGATTTTGACTTGAGGTAAAATTGGGCTAATCAATTTGTCTCATGAAAATACAGGGAGAGAAAGAAAGAGATAATCTTTAGATTCGAAAACGAATTTTTAAAGCAATTTAATGGTTGAATACAGAGAATTGAGGAGAAAGCCATAGACTCAAAGGCTAAAACAATAATGAAAGCCAAAAGATTGCAAACTACGGAAACACAACAGATTACAATAGGTAGTAAAGAGAAGCCTTCCAATAATTGTAGCAGTAATTTAACACAGATCTCAGCTTTAAAACAAATGCACCACTGGTATCACAAAACTTCAGATGTAAGTAAATGAGAAAGAATTATATTTCTCTAAATTGCAATCTTAAGATTGAAATTAGCTTTTTTCACTTTTATTGGTAAAGAAAATGCAGAAGCTACATGAAAATGGAAACAATAGAGTTGGGTCTACTACACAAGCAGATGGCCATCATCAAGAGAAGCAGTTCTTTTGTGGCTTCATCTTAGAAATCTAGAAACTACCTGTCTATGCTCTTTATTTCTCTTCCTGATTCCATGACGCAACACATTTTTCAGTATCACTAACTAAAACGATGGTCCACAGAACCAGCGAGGTTTGTCACCATTCAGGACCACGAAAAAATCAACGAATAGAAAGAGAAGGAAGCGATAATACCTGAAGGCGCATAAGCAGATCAGAGCTATGTTTCTGCAAGAATCGATTATCTGAAAAAGACTTCCTAGCTTTCTCGACGGCGGAGAGATCCTCAGGTGTACCGAGCTTCGGATCAAACTCCCAAAACTGCCTTTCAACGTGATTATTGGTGGTTCTCAGCCATGGACTGCCTCCTTCGGTGATATTCAGTTTCCACACTATCGGTCGGAGAAAATGAAGATGTCGCTTGATTGCAAAATGAGTTGAATCAAAGATGACCAAAACCACAAGCATATATAACCAAAACCGGACCATACAATCATCAACTTTGGCTTAAGCGCAGTCGGAATCATCATTACAGTCAAAGAAACACCATCACAGAGATTCAATGATGGGCATTAAAACATAAAACACTCTGAAGAAAAATGATTTACTACACAATATGTAGATCAAACACCATCTCTGCTAGTGATTATCATTTTCATATAAACAGACACAAAAAGAGTGAGAATATAATGACAATGGAATTGATCCAAAAAAACAAAAACTTTCATATCTTCCTTTAGCTTTCATGAGAACCCGAATACAACAATTTGAATGTGAGAACTTTGTAGCTATGAAGCTCACATAAAGATAGTGATCTATTTCTTTTGTTTGTTTGATCCAATCCACTACCGAATACTCACGGGAATGTCACAGAAAATCAAAACCTCCATTGGTGTAGTTAAACTAGTTTCTACTGGAATGAGAATCGTTGTATTTAGTCATCTAAATCATGACACTAAACTAAAACTACTCAAATGATTCCTTACAAATACCTTTAAGAATGCAACTTTGTGGACTAAATACATACATTCAGTCAGAACAGTCAGAAGCAGCCTTGTCTGCAACGATCATGTATCAACAGCCTCAAGTCTTCAGAATCTAACTCCTCTTCGAATCTTCTGTGAATATCTTGGAGAAATTTCAGAACACTCGCCAATGATCCGTTCTCTGGACTCTCATCTATCTTCTTTTCTGCGTAAGATTTCAACTTTGCGTTATCATCACCGTCTCTGAAATATTCATACTTGGTGATCTGCAACAAGCTGCTCTTGTCATTAGGCCAAACATCAACCGTATCATCCACAATTACGACTCTTCGCTTATCAGCCACAACAAGATCAAGTGTCTTAGTATTAGGACTTTCTTTACTGGTTATGACTCGATCGCCAAAGTATACTTTATCCGGATCAATCAAGTTCAACACGGTCTGTGCGTAATTCGATAACCCCATTGTGTAAACATGCATTGTGAAACGCTTGTTGGCTTCTAATAGAAATTCAGGAACAAAAGGTCGAAGTTTAATGATATATTCATTGGAATGGCCTTTGTTGAATCTCCATAGATCTTGCCTTGAATCAGTTTGTTCGAGTACATACTTCTCCTTTTTCGAAAGTTGCGAAACAAGAGTCGAGTGGATTAGCGTGTGGTCCAAATCAAGAACTAGGTGAAGCTTCTTCTCCTTAATCTTCTTCTTCTCATTCTTCTTCTTATCATCGAGACTCAATTGTTGTAAACTCTTGACAGATTTATCCAAGGAAGAGGACGAAGTCTTTTGCTTTCTAGGCATCTAGAATATAACAAACAAACATTATTAGCATTGAAGCATACAAATACAAAACAACTCAAGCAAATCTAAGTGAAGCAACAACCAATTTTCAGAATATTAAAAAAACTCAAAACTTGTGAAACTTGTTCACTAAAAGGCAAATCAGAAAAGCTATAAACACACAACTTCAAAACAGAAAAGTTCTTCTTCAATCAGCATTAATCGATGCCTAAAACCTACACAAATCTTGTCTAAAACCTATGCCTAAAATCTTGTCCTGTGAAAAATCACCAAAATCAAGTCAATACCAACCAAACCCTTAATCCAAATACTAGAGTTCAAGTCTCATATACAAAATCGAGTATATGAGACTTGAAATTGAACTTAGAAACCAAAATCGAAAACTTGAACTTGTTTAGGTAAGCAATACGAACCTGGATAGATCGAACAAGGATGCTGATAACACAAACAAAAGGAAACGCAAAAAGTGTGATTTTTCTTCAAACCCTTGATCAATACTCGACCATTCTCTCAGAATTTCAGAGATTTTTCGAGGAAGAGATCGAAGATGAACAGCGTTTCGGAGAAAGAAGAAGAAAACAAAGTTGTCGAGACTCGCAAAGAGAGAGACAAGTTGTTATTTTGATATTCTCTTTTGGGCCATTTAAAGGTTAGGTTGAAATATTTTAGGATGAATTTGTAATGAAAGTTGCCTTGGCTCCGTTGGTTATGAGCTTTGGTATTTAAGAGCATGGTTATAGGTGATACTCATATAGTATCATTAAGAATTTTTTAGTATTATTTATAATATTTGTTTATTGTATGAGATTTTTTATGATACTCCTACTAGATATGCTTGCATTGGTGAGACCGGTTTAAGTATCATAAAAAAAAAATTAATTTGCAAAATCAAAAATAAATATAGAAAAACATAGGATTACAAAAGGTAATATTACAACAAAAAAAATTCATGATTAACATCAAACAAAGATTTTATCAATAACAAACAAAGTAGCAAACAAAATTTTTATCAATAGCAAACAATGTTTTTATCAATAACAAACAAAGTTTATATCAATAAAATGTTCAGAAGATCAACAATGGCACTTAATAGAGAAGCCAGAAAGTAGATATTGTGTATTCAATATCATAAAGAGGCAGAAAGATATAGAGAAAGAGAGAGATATGCAATTACTTACAGCAAACCTTAGAAGCAAGCATGACTTTCCAACACCAGAATCACCAATGAGCAAAAGCTTGAACAAATAGTCACTGCAAATCAAAAGAGGCATAAGACACATGTAAGAGATAAAGCATTTTTGATATTTCTCCAGCTATATTAGGAAGTTTAAGACATATTTCAAAGGTGCTACACGTAGTGAAGAAGCTCATAGATTTCGAAAACCATTTTTCACTATCCCGAAATTCAAAACGCAATCTCAAAACACCATAAACCAAATCTGACTATGGATTCACATACACACCTAGAATTTTCAAACTAGGAGAATCATCTGTGTATTGAAGAGAAACAACATATCTTAACCAATATTTGTCTAGATCTAATCAAAATTCCGATCCACGAAAAGAGACTCCAAATCAAGAAATTGATTAGACAGAATAACAAAGCCGGCATCAACAAACCTCGTTAATTTCGTAACACCAAACAAGAACAGAGAGGATCGAGACAGAGTAAGAAAAACAGAGAAGGAAGCCATATAAGGGAGAAGAAGATTACTTTGGCCGCGGATTTGAGATGGGATCGCCGGAGAAGAAACGGAGGGAGCGAAGGCAGGATCGGCGGAGGAGAGGAGGAGTCGGTTCTACGTTTTCTCGCGACAGAGAGGAGAAACGAATGAATTTTTTTTTTTTCTGCTTTCACAAAAAAACGCGTTTCAGGGACGAATCAGGAGCCGCCACGTCACCCGATACTGGGTATCACAAGTATCACGGATCAGGCCCAAATTCATTGTCTGATCCATTAAAAAATTATATCTGGGCTCTTGATACTCTAATTGTATCACCTATGGACATGGTCTAAGGCAAAGGTCGTGGGTTCAACACCTCAATTTGTAATATTTTTTTTCAGATTTTTTCTTTTTACGAAACGACGTCGTTTTGTGGTATGACGTGGCATCTCAGTCAGTATTTGTTAACGGAACTTTAACCCCGTTTGTCGATTTGATGGTTTTGACCAGATTTACATTGTTCGTGTAGGAAATTCAAATTTTATTTAAGTTCATGTAGTTATAGGCACGACTCAAAGTTCTGTGTATAAATGCGATAAAGTAACTAAGTTCGTGGGGGAATTGGCCGTTTCCATTTTTTTCATTTGTTCTTTACTTACCCGTTAAAAAATACTCGTTACCCGTTAAAAAATTACTTGCAAGTTGCAACCAGTTAAATTAGGAAATCTTGGGTAATAAGTTTCTTCTTCTTTAATTTTAAGTGGGTAAACCATCTATTTCTCCTTCGGAACTTTCATATCACATTAGTTCTACCCAGATTTTGGTCCTCGTTCTATTTCCAATTTTTCACACATACTTAACTGAAAATTACCCAGATTGACTCAAATCTGGGGATTAATAACTAGATTGACACCCTAGTTTTGTAGTTTACTAGACTAACACAAATTTTGGGTAAAATGACCAAAAACCCAATTCAATTTTATTAGTCTTTAAAAAAAAAATCAAACAATATAACTTTTAAATTAGAATTACAAAACCCAAACAAAACAAAAAAACAACTAACCCTAAATTACGACTGACTTTCTCGTTTTTTCTCAGCCTCATTGCTTAAAACTCAGTCACTTTCACGACTCCGACGAAGACTTAGGATCGAAATCGCCGAATCCGACGAAGACTTGAATCTGCCGATTACAGAAGAGCAGCCATAGACGACGGTGGTCTTTTGTTCGAGGAGAACAGCCGCTGACGCCGCCGATTACAGAAGCAGCCATTGACGACGGTGCTCTTTCTCCGGGGAACCCGCCGCCAATTTCTCCGGTTCTTCTATTTCGGTGTGTCTTCGGCTACTTCATCTTCCCGTCATCTCCGGCGTTTCCCCTAAACCCTAATCTTCTTTTGCCACCCCTGCTTGAGTCTCTTTCTGTCTGCTTTGCGAGGGCATCTTCCTCTAATCATCTGTTTATTCGATTTGCCGGTTTAATCAGAGCTACTGGCCATCACTGTTACCGTTTTTCATTCATCGACAACGTTTTTTTTTTCTCAATTGACAATTGGTTAGTTAAATCTTTCACTCATAGTGTTGAAATTTTGACTATGAATTGCAGTTTTGAATGATTACTCATTTGTTGTTGCAGATCTTGGTCCCGAATAGTATCTGTGAGTTCGTTCTTCATAATCCCGGTAAGGTTATGTTGTAATTTCTCTCTTTATTTTCTCGCTTGATTTTTCTGTTCGTCAGTTTTCTATGGAGATTTCTCATAGTTACAGAATTTCTCCTAGTCAGTATGACCTTTTCTCTAAGCATCATTGAGTCAATCACTGAGTTATGTGGTTTGGTATTCTGTGTTGATATGACAGTTGCAATTTTCTCTCTGGCCCTTTTGTTTTTATGGTCTAACAAGCTTCTACTGCTTCTCGTTTCTTATATCTATTTCTATCCAACCTTGTAATTATTGTACTGAAAGCTGTTTCATACTCTTGTTACTGAACCCGGTTCGCGACCTGTATATATCCTCTGTTTCTTTCCATTGTTTCATATTGAATCAAAAAGGCTATTGACTTAATGTCATACACATTTAGTCACAGTTTTTGAGGTTTGTTTGTTTCCTCCTAGGTTTTAGTATTTCTGTTATGTGACTTTTAAGATTGTGTGTTGGATCTTTGACGTAGGGAACATTGGGTTGAATTAATGTCATACACATTAAGTCACATATGATTATTGAAACTTATATCTCAGTTTTTGACGATTGTATATTTGTTTCCTCCTAGTTTTAGTATATTTGATAATGTGGTTTGCATTTTCTGATATAGTTTGGTCCTTTTAGACTTCTCTTCCTCAAGAATATAAGGATGTATATCATCTCTGCATTCTCTATTTTGTCTCTTACTCTATTTAGTTTTATCCTTGCATCTGAATGTTATGAAAAATGATCGTTATAGCCACTGTTATTGCGATCCAATGTTAGAGATTTGGTGATAGCTTTTTGGATTAATTTGTTTTGCATCAGATTTGTTTTAAATTGTTTATTAGCTGATTGTATTAATACTCTTATATGCTGATTTATTATTTTGATAATCTTCAGGAATGGCGTCTTCGAGTAATGTCTTGAAATATCCTCCCCGTCTTTATGCAGAAGGGAAATCACCTTTGCAACATAGAAGCATGAACCACAATTGTTATCTGTCCAAGATTGGTCAAATCAGAGAAGGATTAGGTATTGATGTGTGGGATGAATTGGAGAAATCATCACTAGGTGTGTTTATCAAGCTAGCTGAACTAGAGTACACATGGGCTGCCAAGAAAGTACATCTATTCCTCACAAATAAGTTGAAAGTGGATAACTTTCATGAGATATGGTCTATGATTGATGGTAGACCAGTCCAATTCTCCTTAAATGAGTTTGCTGCTATAACAGGACGGAATTGCGATCCATTTGACCCGTCGGAAAAGTTTGAAGCTGATCACCGTGAGCTATGGGAGGCAATGAAAGTACCCATCTCAGAAGGTCCAAAGTTCAATGAGTTGCGAACTGTGATGGATCTTAGCAAGGCATGGGACTTAAAGGAGAGGATTATTTTGCGGAACACCTCAACGGGACAGCTCCAACTGAATCAGCTACTTACAAGAAGTGGTTCATCGATGTTGATCATCTTTACGCTTGTCTCTTTATCAATGGGGATCATTGGGTTGCTCTTGATATTGACTTGCCTGTGAGGAGGATTAACATCTACGATAGCATCCCACACTTGACCACTAATCCTCAAATCTCGAAACAATGCATGTTTTTGCGGTTGATGATCCCTGCCATGATGAGTGCTTTCGTACCTATCAACATACGTAAGAAGAGTAATGCAATGTTGGACGTGAAAAGGATTACAAAGAAGGTACCTTTGAATAAAGATCCCGGCGATTGTGCTATCTACACACTCAAATACATCGAGTGTTTGGCTCTAAGGAAATCATTCGATGGGCTTTGCGATGAAAACATAGATGCCATATGTGTTAAACTTGCAGCGGAGCTATTTGATGAAGTGAGAGAGTCAGCCAAACCGTCTAATCTTGATCTTTGTGGTGTAGGTTTCATCGAATGAGTGACTTTGATTTATGTAATCTCGTACTTATAGGTCTTTTGTTCTTTATTTCCAGGATTTAAAACATTGTGTCACCTTGTTTCAGATTTTTTCATGCTTATTTGCAGACTTTTAGTGCTTCTGTATTGATTTATATCCCGTTCATGATAGTATTCTCATACGTACGGAACCAAAAACTATTGAATTCACTTGCTAACCGCCGTTGGATCCAGACTGAGTTAAGGAAAAGACAGATAAAACCGGTTAAGGAAAACCGGACTGAGTCGTCAAGAGGGTGGATCGATCGATCCAGTGATGGGATCGATCGATCCCGAGCTGGCGGACGGTTTTGTCTCGACGCTTGTTTTGTCCTTTAAGCCGAAACTCCAAAAAAAATTTATATAATAATGAAACCAAAAAACTATCAAGAGCAGATGAAAAGAAGATGGAATATTCATAATCTTTCAAACGTTTCATGACAAACATAATCTATCAAAATTTAACCAAAGTATTATATGAAAAAAATAAAGAATTCAACTGTAGACTTGCACCACAATAACTAGTCAATGACGAAAAAATAAATTAAACTTGAAGATTACAAGTCTTACGATTATGACCAACTTGATTGCAATTGCCACAAGTGTATAATTTTCTTAGGTTTTTCTTTTCCATAGCAATCTCCAATGCTGACTTAATTCTCGAATTCTTTGGCCTTCCCGGTTGTTGTTTGGGTATGGGTGGTAAACAAACCGTTGAAATAGGAATTGTAAAGATAGTTCTTGTGATATATGTTCAGGAACAGGTATAGCAAACTCCCTTGGCATGATGGCGTTAGCATAGGAATTGTAAAGATAGTTCTTGTGATAATACGGATGGCACATTGAAATTCGAGAGACTTTCCTGTTCTCAGCCGCCGCAATTGCGTGTGCGCATGGCAATTTCTCCACATCAAACCTGCAACACATACACTTTTTATCGACCAAATTTACAACGTGGAGAGATGTTGCACTTGTCACTTGTACTTGTTGTGCATCTATATCTTGCACAGCAAGTAACTTCGCATAGTCAACGCGGCTCTGTAAAATGAATAACATTGTTAATAGTGAAACATATATGAGAATATATATGTATGAGAATATACCTGCAGAATTTTCTCGACACCACGTGTCAAAGATGTAGTCATTTTTAACGCATCACTCCGCCGATCTGAAAACCATTTAGTCATCATGGACGTTATTTCTTCTAACAACTGTGTAATAGGAAAACTCCTGGCGTGTGACATCACATTATTCATTGATTCCGCAATATTGCTTGAAAGCAAGTTATACCTATCACCGGGGAAATGTACACGTGTCCAAAGTCGCACATCAGCCCTATGTAGATATGCATGTAGTTCAGGATTCGCCACTTCTATCTGATGGAATATGGTTTGAAAATCTACTTGTCTGAATGCATTCACAGCTTTTTTAACCAATCCAAATGTTTCTTTACCTTTAAAACGGACCAATATATTTTTGTACAGATGGTATGTACAAATTCCTCTACTCGCCTTCGGATAAACCACATTGATTGCTTTCGCAATGGATTTATGCCTATCTGAAATAATGGCTAGGCCCTCATCATCTGGTATGACACAGCTCAGTTGCTTGAAAAACCATTCCCAAGATTCATCATTTTTTGTATCAACCACAGCAAAAGCAATCGGAAAAATCTGAAAATTACCATCTTGAGCTGTTGCTGTAAGAAGTGTCCCTTTGTATTTTCCCTGTAGAAAAGTACCATCAACAACCACCACTTTCCTCATGAATGGAAATCCAAGCATGCTTGCACCAAAGGCTAGAAACATGTACTTAAATCTTTTTTCTTCATCAACTTCAAGTCTCGTCAATGTCCCCGGATTAGCCCTTCTTAACATGTACAAGTAAGTAGGTAGTTGCTCATAACCACTCTCTGGACTTCCTCTTACCAATTCTCGCGCATACCTGAGCGTCCTATAAGCCTTCCAATAATCCATCTATTAAGAAAAAATTACTGTTTCTGTTAAACATTAAAAACTTTTTGTTTTAAAACGCCAAAAAATATTAAAATTTGTATTGTACCTTGATCTGAAAACGTTTGTTCAATGATTCAGCAACATGCATTGGCAATACTTTGGGGCCATATTCCACCAACAAAATCCTTGTATAATACTCCAAGAATATCATGAGTTGCTTGACGGGCACGTGCAGAACGCTCTGTTACTGAACATGAGTGTTCAGAAATAAAAACACTAATATGAAACTTTGGGTAGTCTCTTTGTGTCGTAGCTCGTACCCTCCACGTACACCCTTTTATCCAGCACTTGACAATCAATAGAAAAGGTGTCGATTTATCTACGTAGAAATCAAATCTCTGTACTACGGTTAGTATCTTCAGTCGTGTTTCCAAGTGTTCTTTTGATTCGTAACATTGTCCAACAGCCAAATCCACATAAGGCAATTGAAACTTTGCATAATAATCATCATCTTTTTGTTCTTCAATATAGATACCTGAACTCTTTTTCTTCAACGGCAGTATTTGTTTTTCTTCTACAACTGGTGGAATCCCATACAAGCTATAATTCTCATCATCAGAATCTGTTCCGTCAGAGTCGTCACAGTAATCAAATCTCGTTTCTTCATCGTCATCGTCGTCATCGCCAACAGCTTCATGAATCAAATCCGTAACTTCCTTAACCAACTCCTTTGCGATTCTTGTTCATTTTCTCTGCAAGGTACTGTCAACGATGCCATCGGTGTTGGGTTGATTACCTTCAATTGTAACTTTCTTCTTCACTTCAACACAAAGTCGAATTGTATCGCTCTTCAATTGCCCCAAAAAAGAGTGAAACTGTCTTGAATTAGTAATAATAACGGGTGGTGTATCATCCGGTAAATTCTGAGACAACATCTTCGAAATCTTGTAACTCAACACAACATCACAGCCTCTATTCTCGATTCCGTAATCCTCCATTACCATTCGAATGCATTGAGAGTAACTGGTTTCCCTATTAGCTTCCAGAACTCGACATCCTCTATTTGTATCAATGATGAACGACCATTTGTTATTCTCGAAAATCCATTTGCCACATACGAGAATCACCTGATCCATCTCCAACCCTTTGTTTTGAGACACCATGGTGAATTTCAAAAAACGTGTTGTGGCTGTCGTGGTAGAGATAGAGATGAAACGGTTAGGATAGCCCAAAACCTAGGAAAATAAGGTAAGTTAGATTTTCTCGTCATTTATTATTTTTCAGTTATGGAAATTCAAAACATAAAAGTCTGTCGTGTTTAAAAAAGTCTGTCATGTAGTCCATCATGAAAAGTATGTCATCAAATATGTATACAAAATCTGTCATAATATGAATAAAAATTAAAATCTGTCATTGCGTAAAACATATCTGTCATCACTATATGAAGTCATTCCAGCAATTTCTTTTTTCATCACTAAATCTGTCGTAAAGTGACAGTTTTCTTTGAACTAAACCTAAATATGTCGTAATGTAAATAAAATCTGTCATCACAGAAATATTTCATTTGCGATTGTATGTCAATCTAGCAATTTTTTTTTTGTATGACAAATCTGCTATCACTCGACAGTTTTTTTGTTTAAAAAATAAAAACTGTCATAACATCAAAAAAATCTGTTATCACTACTAAGTCATTCTAGTAATTACTAGTAATTATTTTTCCAAAAACAAATCTGTCACTTGATGACAGATATTTTTATGAAAATTAAAAGTCTGAGGCCAATATGAACATAAATCTGCCACTAATTTTAATAAATTTGTCAAAGTGATGAAAGTCTGTGGTGTTAAATTAAGTCTGTCACAACCTGTTAAATTAAGTATGTGAGAGATAAAAAATCTGTCACAGAAAATCTGTCGTTGATAAATAAGTCTGCCATTTAAAATAAACCTGTCATAACGAATTCAACAGACTTTTAAAAACCAAAAAAATTTCCAAAATGTTTTTCTCACGTTTTTCGAAAACTTTTAGGGGTAAATTTGACTTTTTTTTTTTTTTCCTAACAAAGAGAGCAATGGTATTATCGTCATGAAAATAACCAGTCTAACCCCCATATTTTATGAGACATTCTAGTAATTAAAGTCATTATTTGGGTCAATCTAGTAACTTTCACTTAAAAACTTATATACACATATATTAGACATGTAAACAGAGCGGATATCCGGCTTTTTTAGGATATCCATATTCGTTTATGTATCTGTATTATCCGCTAATTTAGTATCCATATCCGGATTTTGAAATTCCGGATATCCGATATCCGGATATCCGCGAATATCGGAAATAAATTTTTAAGATTCTAAATTCATTAATATCATACATAAAAAGTTTAAAATATTCATAAAATAGTTAGAAGTTGATTTTTTTTTTTGACAGCCAAATTTTCCATTAGAAAAAGAACCAAAGTACAAAATAGTGTTGGTTTACAAAGTTAAGACATACACTTAATGGACCCAAGAGATAATAGATGGTAAGTTTTGTTGCCTAGCTTTTCGAGCTAGTGTGTCGGCGATGGTATTGACTTGTCGACAACATATTTGAAAGCATAAAAGTCCCGCGTCATAGCCAATATATCTTCAAGATATCCTTGAATCTCCAATGGTCCAGGTTTTTGTTGGCTTTGCGTAACTGATTTCTCCAAATGATTGTATAGCGTACTAGAATCACCATAAAAAGTGACATTCTGGTAATTGAGTCGCTTCATTTGGAAGAGGGCTTCTCTCAGCGCAATGGCTTCAATTTCCAAAGCTGAATTAGTAGGATCAATGGATGAGGATCCTTTGAGAATACAACGGCCTTGTGCATTAAAGAGGGCCCATCCAATGCCTGCTCTGCTATTGGGAATCTAGCCAAGAACCATCTGTGTAACAAGAGAAAAGTGAATTAGTTAACCGATCGATCATAAGGACGCTGATGATTTTGAGACTTGATGCCTTTATTGTGATGATGATTTTGAGCAATAGAAGCATTTTGAGCTTCCTTCCATAATTCAAAATCCATAATAGCTTGACGAATAATGTCAGGATTAGTCCATCGCTTATGATTATAGAGAAGATCATTTCGGGCTTTCCATATCCGCCAACCAATGTAAGGGAATAAAGGTTCTTTGGAGTCAGCAGCATTTCTGGATTGTAACAGACCAGATATGATATCAAAAAGTGAAGCTTCCTCTTATTGACCTGATGGTATATGGAGGGGTGATAATTCCCAAATCTCTTTTGCTAACCGACTTTGAAAGAAGAGGTGGAAAATAGTTTCAGCAACATCACCACAAAAAAGGCAGTCTGGGGAGATTTTGATGCGCCTACGAGCAATAGTAGCTTGGAGTTGGTTAAACATACAAAACATTACAAAAACAAGGAATTTATTAAAGTATCAAAAAGTTCAAACGATTCAATTACTATATGATTTATTTATTAACATTGAAAAATAAAATTAAAAAAGTTAAAAAATTTGGGCTTACAATTTCTTTTGAGTTTTAACACTTAAATAATGAAGTCATAAAACCTTTAAATTACAAAATCTTATATGGGCCTAGATATACCCCGGATATCTGTTATCCGGCCCACAATTTATGATTATTCGTATCCGTATCCGTATCCGAAATATCCATCATTTTGGTATCCTTATTCATATCCGTTTGGCCGGATATCCATTTTTTGGATCAAAAACCGGATACGGATAACAAATATAAATCTCAGACCTAACATGTAACGTGTATGAACCGCTCTATGACCGGACAAGCCACGGGCGACTCAGAGACATCACGTAGATAGCTCACATAGACGTTCCAACAGATGTTCTAAACGAATTTAGATCCTTAGCCGGACCATCCACGTGAACCATCCTCACGAACGCGATTTAGGCTTTTCAACCCTTACCATGTCCGTGAATTGTGTTAGCCTGGACAAGACTAATATCGAATGATACACACACTTTATAAGAAAATACTTATTTTTATATCATATAAGCTTCTCGTACAACAATTATCAAAAACCATCAATAACAATCGGCGCCGTGAGCCTACTCGCTCAAATCACAACAACATTGAAAACTCACTAAGTTTTACAAAAGCAACAACTCTATACAGGCTTTCCTATGTCCCAAGCATCCTTCTAATGGTTCCCGCTAAAGTTTTCCTGCAAAACGAATGAAGTCATAAGTAATCTAGGATTACTTAGTGAGCTTGGATTCCCTGCAACACCTTACAATTCCAACCCAATCCCCAAAACAAAGATAAGCATAAACAATATACAAGCATATCCGAGAATGCACACGGAAGCAAATAACAATCAACCAACCAAGATGTATTCTTACACGAAACTCGGCCGTGTAACAAGATAAATAAATTAGGTATGCGACACCAATCATCTAGACTCCTCCTATGGGCCCTGATATGCTGCCTTCTGAAAAACAATCGCTGACCTTATTGAATCCACAAAGGATACCAATAAGATAAACCACACATGCATCATCATGATTTACCACGCCTAGGTCCCGGGTTTTTTGTCAATTGATGTAAGTGACCCACTAGGAATCATGCTTACTTGACAAGCCGTCAAAGGAATGACAGACATACCCCTAACTTAATATGCAAAAGGCACCAGACATTAAGTCAAGAGTACCGCATACTAAGAGTGCAACACACAGGTACAGAATCATATGTGAACGGATCTAGATGACCACGTTCATGATTCAGTACACCAACTCAACCCACCCTACATAGAGATTGAAGTTAATCAACTAAGGATAAAACGAGAATCTACTATGTATCTCACACCTAAACGCACACAACCAAGCAATTGCTCGATGATACGCCTAAGCACATCACCAAGACTTAGCAATCAATTAATCAAACCAAACAAACAACCAAACAAACCATTCATGTGCCATATTACATGCTTCGAGACTCTAAGAGTTTCGGCTGAAGGCTTAAGATTTACTTCAACGGTCTTGGACACCCCACAACTGCTCAACATCATTCCCATCTTGATATAGGTTCTCTCTAACTAACAACCTTCTTTCTCGATGTTTAACTCATATATAACCTATAGAATTAGCTTTCATGAAAGAAAGACTAATTCACAGGCTTAATCGGAGACAACATTCTCAATGACGGACCAGATCTCTCGGCAGGATTCTCGATTCTCCTCGATAGCTTCTCGGATCCATCTGACATGTTTCTCGATCATACATCATCACGGCATAATTTTCTCGATAAGACTCTGCCTAGTAATAGTACTTTGCTCGGAACCGCGTCTCGGCGATTTTCCTTCTCTTTTTCCCCAAATGATTTGGTAATGACCGAGTATTTATAGGCACCAAGTACATGTGTGAACCGCTCGATCAGACACGTACAGTGTCGTACACGTGCTGACGACACATGCCTGGAGAAAATTCGGCTCTAAGGGTCAACACTTCGACTCCAAGTCACTCAGTCAACGGGTCAACGACTTGGGTCAACAGGTAACCTTTGTCCGGCGGGTCGATATACGTACCACGGTACGATCGGTTCTCGTCCGATCGGTAGAATTCTCGTTCAATCCTTGCCCAAATCAATAATTCCTCGTTCAACTCTCTCCCGATCGATATTTTCTTCGATGAAACTTGGATTCGCTCGACAGCTTCCTTATAGAAACACCTGATGATCGACAAGTTGCCTTCCGGTACAGTCGCGGTACGGGAACTTCTGATCATGCACGAGGACGTATCGCTCACGTACGAGCTCCGTCGATCATTTTCAACTTTTTTCGACCAAACTTCATTTTGGCTCGCCAAAACTCCTTTATTCTTCTTTCTAAGTTCTTTTTGATCTTTCTTCGGTCATTCCTTGCATGGCCATTTACTCTTAAACGAGGGTCATTACATTCTACCCACTTTATAAGACTTCATCTTTGAATTCTGACCTTCTCAACGATCCACTCCGATAAACTTCATGTTCTCTTCTACATCTTTGCTTGTATGCCTTAGGTCCATATTCTTCTTTTAACTACTCAGAATTTGTCCTTATCGTTTACACCTACTTTGTTTTACGGATATAACTTGATAAACCCTTGTCCTTCTTTCTTTATCAACTTTGATGGTAAAGGATTATTCCAAGTTGGAAGTAATCCTTCCACAGTCTTCTTAC